TTCACTTTCTTGGTCCACGCGTTTGTGTTCCTTGAGGTGTTTGTACTGGGCTGCTGAAGTCGACGGGTGACTGAAAGGATTTGACTCATCTTTTACTCCGGATGTTACCGGCTGGAATCCACGTAGGTGCGATTGACCTGGCGGTACACCCAGTCCACACGCGACTGAGGATGTATTTCCGAAGCCCTTGGATGAGAATGGATGGCTCTCTGCCATTCATTTCGTCCAAAACTCTGCTGAAATTGATTTGATACGGAATTAAAAATGATACATGATTCACAGTCTGTTCATAAACCGTTGTCCATCGTACAATATTACCAGCGGAAACCTTTTTCTTCGCTGTTAGCCATTCTTGGATTACAACAGCGTAAGAACAACCAACATTTCAACGCAATAACCTGAATTCAATACATCAGGTTTATTCTCGACAACCGCTCACATACATTGGATGATAACTACAAACGGTTCTAATGACAGCTCAATACCAGAAATCGATGGTTTGTTGTGCTAGCGTGGCAGCTGCACCCTACCAAGACAAATCAACGTTGGTCACAAACACAAGCTGTTTACATAGGTTAAGCTTCAAACACCAGATAGCAGAAGCCCGAACAAAACGCAGCAATTTGTTGATCATCATGAATGCCTCGCGTGGGCTTCGACACATCGAGCAGTTGTGTAAAAGCCTCGGAACAGTGCTAGCAGGTAATGTTGTACTACTGAGAGCTACATTTCGTGGACTGTGTTCCGAAATTCCTGTAGACAACCACATCTCTGTCGGGCCGATGTACATTCTACCGCAAGTACAGTTAAGCTGGCAAACATAGGAGGCGATGACATCCGAGTGAGGCGTGTCTAGATTAGATTCGTATAGCACCTTTTTGGCTCGGTGGAGCAACAAGAGCTCAGCTGTATAATAGCACCTCCGCTGAAATGTAGGTCGTTCTTGCTTTGTTAATATGCTTGGATTACATCGAACATACTCCTGTCCACCAACCCAACAAAGTTGAAACTCGAAAACTTTTCCTGTTCAGGCGATGTCGCGGTCACATTTCTTGTCCACCTACTAACGGCGACAGTAAGCCAAGTGTGCTTAACGCACGGAATCGCTAAAGTATGCGCGGTTTCTCTGCCATGACACCGATTTCTCTGGTAACTCTTTTTACTCGTCATTTTTAACGAACAGCGATAAACTCTCTTGATTCTCCTCAATCACCGGCTGACCGTCGCGAATGAACGTAGCTCCAAATTCCCCAAAGCGCAAGATACATTCTTTTGACTCTTGTTGGAAGCTTGGCAATTCGATATCGCCATACCTCCTCGGAAATATTACAATTTTGGAATCCTTTTCTATGTGAGAAAAATTATTTCTAGTACATACCACTTGGCGCTACCATGACTGCAGTTATAACCACCTTAAAAGTGGTAAATATCTTCAAGCGAAATCTTTCGCATTTACCTCCTATCCACTCTCTCTACCATGTACTGGCATCGCTGTGAATTCTACCAGGATCTTAGCGTAAATCGGTGTCACCTCGCCAGTGGGCTAATCCTTTAAGAAGACTTCAATATTGAAATTTTCTGAATCACACGCATTTACTCTTTCCTGGGATGTTGTAAACTTATATGGCGTTACCCCAAGGTACATGAGTTTTCCACCTCGCCAGTGAGAAGCACACCGAAAAATCTAAACTTCACTCAAAGCAATCTTACCATTTATCTTCGATGGATTTCGAAAGGAGAATCTCAATGACACGACGGAAACGGTCGAAATTTGGGGAGCGTAAAGACTGCATAGCAAAATACTTATTTACATGCAAATCTGTGGGACATACTCGAACATAAACTGCATTTTCCGAGTGAACTCTCTCCTCATCTGTAAAATCATTTAGAAACCATCTACTTTTTACCACTATATAGACGCATCTATTTGTCCGGGAATCATTCTATCTTGCTGCATATGTCAAACCTCAGTTCATCCACACTAACTCCAGTTACCCTTAACCATCCATTCGGTTATTTCTGAGCAACTGCGATTCATCGCAGCCAGTTTTCCAAATCAGATAGTTGTCCACATGCTCGGAAAAGCACTAGGCTGCAGTTTCAGCCTGTTGGGCATCGTCAGTAGTGCGCATCCATCAGGATTCGAACCCATGACCACCAGCGGCTTGAACCGCCAGTCAGCAGCTTATGCCACTGGGGACAGTTTCGGACCGTCATGATTTACAAGCTAACTGCGATATATTTCTGATCAGCCTACCACCTATGTAAAGTGCACTGCTGTACCTTCATTATCATACCTCTAAAGTCATGCCTCGCATCGTCTGGGAAAAAACTTTATTTGTGAGAATCGTTTCCATTACACTGTCTGCGTGAAGTCTCTGATAATGAGTTGTTTCCACATTAATGGCTGATCATGATGCGGGGCAGTGAAAGCCGCAAGGAAGCTGTCTCTCTCATGCCGCCTCTTCTCCACACAAAAGCCAGCTGTCTGTAACCGTGTGTTAGCAAAGTTTAGATATCATGACTCTGAGTGTTTACCTAGGGTATTTGTTTTACACCAGGTCTCCGTTCTTCCCCCTTATTATTCTTCACACCCTATGTCATTGTGGTGGCAGCGAAGAATCAGTTACGATCCCTAAAGTATTGCTATTGCCGCTGTCTTTATTTTTAATAAGGCACATTCTTCATGTCAGCTTTCCATTCCACTTCACATCCTCTGTTTCTTCGACACGTGACTCTTGCTTCCTATTAAGAAAGATTGGATCGAGTGATTAGAAACTAAGTGTTATTCTGTTCATTTGTTGGACTAAATCTTCGCTGAGTTTGGCAGTTTCGGTGCAAGCATTTTCTCACCAGTCGAAGTGGTATTATTCGTGCGTTGGTGTGTGGCTGGACGGAGCGATGCGCAAGTAGATAAGGCTTTTTCCATACCGTTCACATGTCAGCACCTTAGCAGTCCACATCCATTGTGATCATTTGACGCCTTTATTTCCTGATTATGCAATCTACGCTTCCGATTAGTCCTCAATTCCGAACTTTATTTACTCGTTACTGGCGTTTAGTCTCTGCGACTGCTTTTATCAGTCTCGTGTTCATCACCATCGCCGCCGCCGCCGCCAAGATTTCAACATGCATTCATTTCAACAGTTTGGAGTTACTTTCCTGTTTTCAACCTTTCCCTAAACAACGGCGAATCTGCGGCGCTCTTGTTTACCTTTCACCACGAATCTCTGACCTTTGCTATTCGTCTAGTGAAGTTTGAACGTCGGGATTGACTACAAACCAGATGATTACGTTTCGTGTCAATCATTGAATGTGGCGCCTACGAGGCAGTGTTCGTCTGCCAACACTACAGTACCGAACTGCGATTCTCCTAGTCCCCAAGTATTATCAGGTTGTAGTGCCAAAATCTACTTAAGTTGGTTTAACAAATTTGCCAAGATGGACTCGAATCTCTCGATGAACTAGTCGGGGACGAAAAAGAAACGAACTCCTTTATTTCTATGCGTCGGTTTTGAGCCTTGGCATTTTTTAAGTACGATTTACTCTTTCCACCGATTTCTTTGCATTTTTCTCACATATTCACTTTATTCACTCAAAGATCTCCCGCTCAAGCACATCCCGGGATGAGCAGTTAAGGTCCATTAAAAAATTGTGATCCGGCTGGTGTAAGCAGAGTATGTGTGTGTATGCAATCATTCAGTATGACCTAAAAACGCTTCCAACCAAGAATCAACTGATGGTTTTCACAACTTACTTTTCGCGTTTGTGTTACTCCCGGAGTTTGATTTGCAACGGCTGGTCTGATTAACTTAATTCGAATGCTTCTCATTTAGTCATAGCCTCGCAAATGTCCTCATTTCCACAATCTCACACATTTCCGCGTGAGATAAGTCGGACATATTGTGTATACTGTTAACCTCTCTTCGTGTCTGATCAGCTTTATTCCGAATCCTTGGGGTATTTCCTTGTTTTTCTTTTGAGTCCCCTGTCCTGCGTGGATTTGACTGCCTGTGCAGTATCCCAGCCCTATACTGCCGACTACGACTGCATGTCAATCATGCATTAATGCGTGGTGCTGGCGTGCTGATACCTTTCTTTCTGCTGATCATATGGGCTGTGAATGAAATCATCATAGGGTGCTGAAAGCTACAAGTGGAAATTCATCAAATGTCGACTCAGACAGCCATTACTCGTTCTGGAAATCACTCGTCGACTGTTAAACCCCTTCGGGAATCATCAGCAATGCTCATTCCTTCTGACCCTTGGGCGGGCTCGAACCCGCAGCTCAACCGTTGCCAGTACGTAGTCAAGACCACTGAGTTGCGGGCGACGGTAATGAGTACGGTGACAAAGTTATTGGACGTGATATAGCGCTGCTCGCTATCCCCATCTAAAGATTTTGTGCAGCCCCGTACTTCCCCAGTTGCCGACAAACAATACTCCACAACTCATTGCACCTTCCCTTCTTCTTCCCAGTCGCATATCCCCTTTTCGTTTTGCCTAAACCTCATTTTCTTCAGACCTTTTTGATTTCATAGTAGCGATATTCACGCCGAATTGGTTTACGAAGTCATCAATCTTGGTCACGTAGGAAGGTTTTATTACATATATTCCAAGTCATTGCTATTATCCAAGCAACTACTACTAGCGTTGTGAAGCCGTCCCATTTCCATACGCCACTTTCTGTCTTGGGTCTTATCTCTGAACGCATTTTTCTCAACTACAAGTGCAATTTTCTTGCAAACTTCTATATCCTTTTGTTCATGTGGACTTCGGATTCAACTTACGCTAATACCTGATCTGTATACTCACACAGATCAGACTTGCACCCCTCACAGCTATGCATCTGGAGATAATGATTAGGTTAGATTAAGCGGAACCAGATGAAGTGTTCCCATTTGACTGGAACTCACCATTTCCCTTGTCTGCCAACCAATTACCCATCAACTCCTCACTTTGGAAAACCTTATTTCCACTGTTTTTAACGCCCTTTTCAGATTATTTGAACCCTCAACGGTTTTCGATGAGCGCTTCCGACACCACGCAGGTAAAATCCTCCAGCGTGGTAACACCGAGTTCTGCGTCAATTGACACATATCGAGTGGGTTATTTTCCCGATTTCGTTCCTGATCTGCCCTCAACACCCTTGACTTTTGTACTTCGTGCTTTCCTTGTGATAAGTTGCTCTCTATGTACCGCCGTCAAACAATATTACCTTGCATTGTGTGTGAATATGTCCAATCATCAGGCTTTCTCAGCTATGTATTCATGAGTAGGGGGTTTTGATATAGATAATTGAGGTTCGTCACAGCCATCTTCCAAGTCAGATAACCGTCCACACGTTTGGAAATGCACTAGACCGCAGTTTCAGCCTGTGGGGCATCATCAGTAGTGTGCATCCATTAGGATCCGAACCCATGACCACCAGCGGCTTGCACCGCCAGTCAGCAGCTTATGGCCACTGGGCTTCGGACCGTCATGATTTACAAACCTACTGTGATATAGCGCGTCTTATCCTCCAATAACATGTAAGTTACGAACGTTGCAGAGGACAGGGATGTCTCCGAAAGACACGACGTCCACTAACACTAGCTATGTACGACATAGTGTTTAGAAACTGTTAGGGCGAATATATTTTATGTCTCCTAACTTTAACTGTCTGTTTACTTCAAATCGTTCAATCACTTCGTAAATTGCTGACACAAAGCAAGCTTACCTCTTTAGCTAACTCTCACCCGGACAAGCATGTCTGACTTTCATTACACGTCATACAAAACCCACGCCTCGTCCGGACTGTTTTACGAGGTGTGTCAAAAAAATTCCTAAGACTGATGTCACGCGATAGCGGGGCAAACCACCCGTAGGCTTATCCTAGCCACTGCTAAGACATACTTTGTGGCCGACTTACGCGTAAGCTTCACCTCAGCACCAATTGTGAGCCATCAGCTCATAGACAGGATGCCCCGGTCGCAAATTTCCTTTTGTGTGTAAAATTTCTCTTGCTCGTGTCGATCAAGATCTATTGGAATAACGACCAGGCGACTGTCCGCAAGAGCTCGAGAGCATTGTCCAGCTTGGCTAAACAGTGGCGTGAGGCAGAATGTGTGGATTGCAGTATTGTCACACTTAATGGATTCTAACCACAAAATAAACGGAACTACTGCTTTCCAACCGATTTATTGTGTACCAGGATGTCACACACACGAGCTATCAGATGCTGCCTACTGTGGACAGCAGAGACAATCGCAGTTCGGCTCCATAACCCGGACTTTTGTGCATTCCCTCTGTGTACCGTGGCCACAGACTAACATGATTAGTCATACGTATCATGCTATTTCCCCCGACTCCACAGAGGCCAGGCTAATCACCCAGCCTTATTGTTGAGAGATTTTGATTTGCTGACTCCTATAATTCACGTGTTCATTTTCGATCTACATAGTTGGGTTTGTATTACCCTGATGATGATCAACTGAGAACAACCTTGTTCGCTACTTTTAGTGTTTTCTCAGGGTATTGTTTCTCCATATGGAGCTCCTTTGCTTAAATTTGAATTGTAAGAACGCTTTTTATCAAATAAACGGCTGTCTACTTGAGATGTGTATGTATGTATGGTTGCTCATAATTTAACAGGCGCATATGCTTCGTTCCGACAGTTAAATTTTTAAACAAAGACTAGAAGCAGAAAGTGAGTTTTTGTATACGAAACCCGGAAAATTGTCTATTAAGATCTAAGTTCGATAACTTCGTCATGTTGGCTAAACGTCAACAATTTGGTGGCTACCTTCTTAATGCGCCTGCATACTAGAGATCTGTGAGAAGAAATTTCCCTATGAGCCCTTCAACTGGTCCGGCCAAGTATTTTCCCACTTCCCTAACTTGGATCGAATTGATCTGCAGCTTTGTCTCTTGAGTGATGCCGTCTAGAAACTACTACACTCCTTTAACTTGCTTTTTTTCCTTTTAACTGGTGCTCATCGTATCACATCTATAGATGAGCTCCTTGCAAAAATCAATTTTGACCTCTTGAGTTGTTGGTTCGTCAAACATACTATCAACAAGTTAGTTGATCTTGTGATTCTTCTACGTCATGTTCTCCTCTGTTTCAGTACTACGCCAATCTTGGTGTTTGTGGCGAATGTACCGTTCCAGCCGCTTCGATTGCCCTTTACAAGGCTACTGTGCTGGTGGCAGATGCCTTGCGATGTTAGGATGCACTGTGATCGATCCGCACTCCACTTCATACCCACTTGCTATTGGTCCTTCACTGTCACGAAACAGAATTTTTGAAAGAACGGTCAGGAGTTCTCTGTTTACTTATTTTTTGAGTTCCAATGTAATTTACCACGTCTTCTTTGTTTCACGTTTGACACCAGCCATTGATAGTCATCTCATCCGCCACCGCCTTCGCTTCGACCCTGTCCTGCAACGTTAGCATGCTGTCTGTTATGCTGTATGTGCGCTTGTACTCATTCCGTCCTTTACATTTGCTATAACTATCGCTTATTTTCGTAATGTGTGTGTGTGGGCTGAACGCCTCACATTGTATCTGTTGTGTCGGAGCCCCGCGACTGATACTGTTGGAGGTGAAAGTAAAATACAGGTATGCATCTGTAGCCGTTCATGACTGCAGACTTTTTTCTACCATGGAGGTTCACCGACGTTTGTTTTAACGCAACATTTCGTCATCCCTATTGGCCATTCGTAGTCGTTGTTTTTGCCTTCGGATCACAGGCATACTTTGACGCTATCACTCTCACCTTACGTCCTTTGTGTGCACTTGATTGGTTCCCCATTTGTTCCGTTCGCATTGGCTTTAATTGTCTGCTTGCTTTTCGCACCCTAGTTGGCTTTCATGTTTGTGCGTCATGCTATATAAGTAACTGGTTTCCCTATGTAAAGACCCCCTTGAATACCTGTCCCTGATCGTTCGTGTTCTCACTGACGTTAGTGGGTGGAAGCAGTTGCGGGGCTCCGACACAACAGATATTCTAGTGTCGTTCGTTCTAGTACTTCAGAATATCTGTTGTGTCGGAGCCCCGCAACTGCTTCCACCCACTAACGTCAGTGAGAACACGAACGATCAGGGAGAGAGATTCAAGTGTTCTTTACATAGGGAAACAATTTCGTTAAGTAGCATAGCGCACAACATGAAAGCCAACCAGCGTGCGGAAAACATGCGGACAATTAAAGCCAATAAGAACGGAACAAATGGGGAATCAATCAAGTGCACATAAAGGACGTAAGGTGAGAGTGATAGCTTCAAAGTATGCCTGTGATCCGAAGGCAAAAACAACGACTACAAATAGCCAATAGGAATGACGAAATGTTGCGTTAAAACAAACATCGGTGAACCTCCATGGTAGAACGAAATTCTGCAGTCATGAACGGCTACAGATGCATACCTGTATTTTACTTTCACTTCCAACAGTATCATATACATTCTTTGTTTTCCTTAGATATCTTTTCCAACGAACTCCGTTCGCTTCGTCGTTCCACTCCCATACCGAACTCACACATGGGAACTACGGTGAATCTCACTAAATGCGAGTTTCCGCGGTAGTCTATTCTTTGTCAAAGGCTTTGGTTACATTTTTCTGTGCTTTGAGTTATCTTCTGTTGAGGACTGTGCGCTTGTCATCAGTTGCTGTTTTTGGTAGGCGTGGCAATCAGGCGTCACCTTCCTTGGAAACGGCTTTACTTTCTTCCACTCGAACGATTTCTTTTTAAGATACGACAGAGGACATAGTACACCAGCAACCTGCAGCTCAGGTGTCTGCACTCTATGGATACTGCAACAGCCGTAATATTATACCGGGTGCACCAAGAGCAGCGGTGCAATGATCCATTTGGTAACGCGGTTGAGGCTGCTTTCTAAATTCATTGGCGCTTCAATTTTCTAGGTGCACACGGTTGCCTGGACTGCGTTAGTTCCACCCATTCTCAAGCGCTTTCACTGATTAATTATGTCACATTGCACACGGAGTGCCATCGATTACGACCTCTGGTTAATTTTTTGTGTTTATTTGTTCTAGAGTCGCACCCGTTTCCCACACCTCATCTTGGAATCTTCTCGAAAACACAATATATCTCCCTACTACTCACCAATACTCAGTGAATGCCTATGCAGTTTACATACCACCTCGGTTGGTGACGGATTTCAAACGTAGTCGTAGCTCTGGGGACCAGCCCTGTCCTCTGTACGTCCACAGCGTGCATAGCAGTGGAGGATGAGGCGCGCTATATCGCAGTTAAATGTCAGTCATGGCAATCCGCCGCCATCATCCATGGCTCCTTGGCATAAGTCGCCGACTCGTAAGAATAGTGTCATGGGTTCGAATCCGGCGCGTGCGAGCTTCTGACTAGTTCCAATAGGACGAAACGGCCGTCTACCGCTTTCCTGGGTGTTGGATAGCTGTCTAGATGCGACAAACCTTCTCAAAAATCTTGAGATCCACTTGCTTTGAAACGCCGTTTCGGTGCGGCTGGAAATCATCTTTGCTGAATGAAATAAAACTCTTCTTTGGTAAAACTCTCACACTAGCAGACATACATTGGCACACTAATTGTCCGTACAATTTGCGGTCTATTTCGGCCTTTTGTCCGCAACACTTTCGATCAACTGTCTGATGCCCTTGCGAGATCTTTTGCGGTTCATTTAATATCCCTATTCCACTATGGACAGAGTGAGCCTGCTTACTTCGGTATACACGGGGCGAACAACCTTTGCTTCCGCAATGGAAGATCAAGTTGTCACTCCAGCGAACGTAACTGACATTGATCGACGTGGTATTCTTTTCCAGCTACTCAGCTATGCATAGTTCTGACAAAGCGCTTCCCATCGGTAGAATGGAACCATGCTGTATGACGGATAAGAAAGAATATATTTATGAAGTCCTCTAGGTTGGTTTGGGGGAGTATTGCAAGGGCAATGGCTGTCTATGAAGACTGTGTTATGAGAGCAAGTAGAAATTTAAATATATTTAACTCCATCGATCTAGTACCAAAAATTACATAAAACTATCTATGATCCGCCAACACCCTAACCGTTTTCCATGTTCTCACGAGAATCCGTAAAAATGTGTACCTCACAGTAAATTGGGACTCACAAATTTGATATGTCTGTGTGGTAATAGTTTTCGGAATCCAACCTTAGAGAAATACACATCAGAAAATATCTTGAAATGCTGCACCACCATATGCTCTGGCAAACTGTTTCAAACATTGACAACTCGTGATTCGAAACACAGGGGATGGGGAACTCGCTTCACATCTGGAACCATAAACCTGTACTCGTGTCCACGTATACTGCAAGATGTTCGAAAGCGGGGCAGTGGCCTCAGCATAGGAAATCACCTAGTTGCAGATGCAACAGGTCATGATAAGGTCGACTCGCAGTCAACGATAGACCAAAGTGTATAGTCCTAATATCTCTCATCTGTCTTCATACAGTAAACGCCGCAAACTGGAGATAAGCCTGGTAGTGATGTGTTGGGCGAACTCGATTTCCTGCGCCTCGCCTCGAGTGGTCAGGCAATAGGCGGTCGAGCCGTCCTCTAACGCTGGTCTGATGATGGAGAAGAGGCGATTGGCTACCTCTTCGGACCAGATGCAGAAACTACGTTTGAGCGCCAATATTCATGCGCAGTCCTATTGCCTGTCTGTGAACAAAGTAAAACGCTCTCCACTGAGCCAAAAGGACAACGCTTCGTAAAAGTAACTCTGTGGAAATAGAATAGCACCATGCAAATCGGTGAAACAATCGAGACTCACGCGCCAACACAAATTTCCGTGCATTGGTCGGGTTATGATTACAAACAAATTCAAGGAGATCTATTCCAGTGCTCCGCGTTCATGTAACTAAATGCATGCTGCTGAACAGTGGTTTGTCAGAAATGAAAAATCAGGTGCCTAACTGGTCCCGTAGGATGGTTGGAGTGGAAAACAAAAGCAAAGAATGACTGAATTGTTAGTTTATGCGTCTATCGATTTAACTGCACTGCTTCATAACAATCGTTTGAAATGGGAATGGAATATGCGCACACAAACTAATCTGCTGAGCAGTTATAGTTGGCGTGTTCCGTGAGAAAAATAGGAAATGACGATGCTCACTGGTGTGCCGCTTCTTTGTACCGATATGGCGTGTAAATCTAGTTTCCACGGTAGCAGCGTTTAATACGTAATGTTTTGGAAGTGAAAATGTCCACCTTGACTGGTACTGTTAGGTTGGTGCACGGACATAAGTGCCTATACCGCGTAGTGTAAATGTATGAGTATATCATCGAGACTTTTTTGAGTGCCGTTGTTGAATGGGAAGAAGCACTGTAAACAGCGATGGGGTTCCAAAATTGGCACATTCGAAGGGAAAAGAAATTCCAGAGGTATTCCAACCTACTATACATTGTGGCCAGCTTTAGCTGCTGACCTCTCACAGTGGTATTGTCATTCAACTTCCGAACTTGACGATAAACCTTGTTTTGATTCCTCAGCACCAAATCTTTTGTTATCAAATCGCCACGCAGGCGTCGATATTGTCCACTGTAGACGCCGAGGGTATTCACCGTCAGTTGTTGACGGAGATGCAACAGATCCCTTTACATTTTTGGTCGCTTTTCCTTTAGGCATGTATAGTGCGGCTGGGTCGTACATGTGCCAGGACTGCCATGCCTGGATAGCTTATTTCGAGTGCGACCTGTTGTAGGCGCTGAACATCTGCGAAAGAATGGAAAGGCCAGAATACATTAATGCGCACTGCGAAACTTGACCCCCCAGCCTGTAGTCGCAAGTGGATTGACGGCATTCGCTTGTGGGCGGTGAAAGGAAGCAGGTTTTATGTCCTCTATTCGCATGCCTGTCAAGGTCGTCCTAAAGCGCTGCCTGATCACCCGTTGTTTTGATGGCCCGCCATATCTTGTGACCATCAGCGAAGAGTAAGAAATTGGAAATGATCACTCGCGAGATCCATTTAGGTAAATCAAGAATAAGCGTGGACCAAGTACTGAGCCATGTGGCACTCCGCACTGAATGTCAATGGGGTCAGAGATGGTGCTACGAACTCTCACATCCAGATGTCGTTCAATCAGGAACCTGACTATCCAGCCGGGAATTGGGTCACCAATTCCACAGCTCTAAAGCTTGTAAATGACGCGGTGGTTCAGACGGTCGAGTGCTTTTGGGAACTTCAGATAATCTGCGTCAACTCTGACAGACTGTCGATGGTTGCAGACCAACTCGAGTGAGCAAGTAGCAAATTTGTGGTGCAAACAACGGTTCTGGTTGAATATATGTTCTGGTGCTATGATTTTGCGTCTTTCCAAGTATTTCATAAGCTCTTCAGCAATAATAGACTCAGTGACT